TGGAAGTACTGGACAGCTGTTTCGTCAGTCTAGTTTGGGACTCTTCAGAAGTAGTACGCACCCACCGGGGTTCGAACCCAAAATAAATTTGAGTTTTATGGTTTAATATCAAGAAAGAATATAATTTAGAATAGACAATAGAAACTACTATTTAGTATGTTCATTTCTCTTACCTTAATTTATGCAATGAAGTAATCAGCTTGATGTTAAGTACAGAAAATACTTTGTATGAAAATAAGGAGTATTTGGCATTTCTTTTGAATCCTCAAAATATCGTCTAGTTGAAGTCTGACTGCTTACTTTATTCACTACGTCTGGATTTAGGTATAGAGCGCTGGAGAATGAATGATATTATGTCAACCGACGTCGTGAACCCCCACCTGTTGTTGTGACATTTGTTATTCAAAGAATGCTTTATCTGTTTTATACTGAGCAGTGGTAACGAGGTTGGGTGAAGAAATAAGTTATGAGAGAGATCAAACGAAGATTAGATTCTGTCTATATGCGTTGAGTAGAGAAATGTAAATTATGTGACTTAGAGTTCTTGGAATATCCGGAATCAGTAGTTGGACTCCGTTGAAGAGTATTCAACTAGGACGATTTTCAATGGTCATTTAAATGATATCAATTCGTGACGAAATCTGTCCTGAGGTCAATTAAATCTCTGCAATCCAAGACTCGAAAGTTTACATTTTTTTCATCCTATTTTTGTTCGCCCTCTTCTGTATAGATCTGGCAGTTACCGCATGTAGCCATGTATCTGTTATGTGCTTAGTATAATAAGAAATCTGGACACTGATGCTAAACCATTCAGATGAGATTTTTTTAAAAATAGGACATATATTGTGTTGTCTGTCTGTCTGGATTCAACATAGAACTTGGCACCGAAGTGCAGCACTTCGAGTTGCCCTGTTCCAAATAGCACACAAACGTAGACAAGAAAATGACTGAAGAGAATCAATAGAGTTTTGACAAGTATAAGAGTGAAACAGAATGAGTAATGGCAGAAAGGAATATGAAAGATTACAGGGACTGAATATATCTGCGTAAGCCATTGACACCGATTTTGAACCATGTCACCTATTGTCTCCAGCCATTGATTCCTAGAGTCCCGAGGGCGGGCCCCAACCCGGAATTCTGCATCTCCCTACCTGACTCAGTTTAACTGTCAGGGATTTCATGGATTGATGAGGCCATGTTTTTGTTTGGCCACCGCTTACCCTTTTCCAACCTGCACCTATATCAGCTAGTAATGCCCGTCCGTCGGGGGAGGCGATGGTTAGGCATGCGCAGCACGTGACCTAACCATCTCAATCTATGTAAGTTTATAGCCTCGTCGATTGATTTTCCCTCTTTGCCCAACATTCTACGCCTAACGTCAACATTACTTACCTTATTATACCACCTAACGTGAGAAAGAGGTCGTAGACAATATTGTGTTAGTGAGATGTCTGCTCACTCACTAGTCAATGGTTGAGTACACAATACATCAATTGTCTCTCTCAAGCTTAAAGCCCTATGTTTTATTTGGAATGCGAAGGAATAGGAAAAATACTTTTAGTGTTACTTGCTTCTACATAATTCTTTGTAGTATTGTAGCTAATTAGCTCAGGCACTAGCATTAAAACGCCAGGTATTCACTTTTAAGCCTAATATACGTACGTGTTTATCCAGGCAATTCGTTATTCTTTCTACATATATTAAGTTTAGTTCATAGTCTACTAAGTAGAGTTGTCGCAGGCTACATGCATCATGCTAATACCACTTAACTGAAACCCAGAGAATTAAATGAACAGAATGACAAGGTGTTCGTAGAGTTAGCTCTCTGTAGACAATAAGATTGCACAAATTGAGAAAGGAAGTAGTAGAATAAATAGGGTCAAAACCCTTTCTAGATGTAACTGACTAATGACACATGTTTCTCAGTCAAGAACAACTGAATTTCACGACAATGAAACAGAAGATATAGCTGGGCGTGTGAATTGTTTTTATCGATTTGTTTGCGCTATGTATATCACGAATTTGCAGAAGTTGTAATTCATGGACCATTGGGTCGAGTCCCAGTGGCTGAATGGTCTACAGACTCGCTTTGTAGCCGCGACGTCCTGGGTTCGAATCCTGACGGTGGCTCCCTACTACTGAGGAGTCCTAAACTGCGACGAAACAGCCATCCAGCACTCCTTGGTTTTTCCAGTGGCTTTCCAAATGATGGTCAGCTCGTGATTGGTTATTATTTCCATATTCAGAAAAACGACGAAAAAACTATTGCTTATCTGCCTGAGTTTTTAAGAGATAAAAGCCTGACTTATGTATGCAGAGAGAAGGAGAGAAAAAAAAGCGGTTATCCGTCTCAAATTCTTGTTGTTGTTTTTTTGTCTAAAACTTTATTTAGAAATCAGTAATGTTTACCCTTGAGGTAATTTGAGCGATTTGAGTTTGTTTTCTTATTTTGTTGTTGTTGTTATTGTCTCGTGAATCATTCATTGTATTGTATTACTTACCTATTTTATCTCTTGTGACCTACACTTACTTATTGTGATGATAGTAATTTAGAGACTAACATGTGACAATTCAGTTTATCGTATATGCCTAGTAATGATGACGATGATTAATCAATCAGAGTTTCATAGTCTCACATTCCTATATTAGCTGATGATGATAATGACTGGTCTCATTTGTGCTTGTGTGTGTTACTTTTCAAAATGATTTTTATTAGGTGAAACTGAACAGTACAAATAGTTATTTATTCGTCTAAGTAGTTGCTATTACTGTGTTAAACAACTTGGGGAATGATGTCTACTGAAGGCTGATTGACTGGTTTTAAAATAACATTTTGCACAAAAGTGCATCAGTTCAACTCGCCACACTCCATGCACCACATAAAGGGAGAAAAATTGAGATTTGAAAGATCGATAATAAGCAGAAATGTGATGGAGAAAGAATACTAACATGGTAAAACAATAGTGTCTATTTTGGATATAGTAAATCACAGAGAATGAATACATTTAGTCATTGAGAAGGATTTTGAGCCATCGCATCAATTGTCTCCAGCCACTGGTTCTAACCACCTCGAGGACCCCAACACAGGGCAGTCTATACCTCCTTACATGGCTCAAACTGATTTGATGTTTTGGTTTGAACAATACTAGCTACGGGGTGCGTTGGTGGCACAACGGTATGAATGCTCGCCAACCACGCTTCATGTGGTTTGTGGTTCGATCCCCAGCCACCGACGCACTCCTTTACCTCACTAAGCCAGTAATAAGACTGGTAAAGTGGGAAGGTTGGGCATGCGGCTAGCAACCTCATCCCGTAAAAATAAACATCATTGCTACGGAGACTTCAGAGATCCAACTTGAAGCCATATATGTTCCACTGGGAATGTAAAGGAATAAAATACTAATAATAAATAATGACTAGCTGGTCTCCAACCTGATCGGTCCTATATCAGTTAACATTGTCTGTCAAGGAAGGCGATGACTAGGCATGCGTAACACACGTCCTAGCCATCTCAATCGATGTAGTTTCATAACCTCATCGATTGACTTGTCCTCCTTACTCAACACTCTACACCATAACCTCACTATTACTCATTTTCTTATACCACCCAATTGAAGATAAACATACTGTTGTAATGTTGAGTACAGGTGAACTCGGTGTTTAAGATTATAAAGGCAGAATTTCTATCAATCTTGTGATCTGTATCCACAAGGTATGCTCTTTTTGGCGGCCTGCTTAAAACTTGGGCTACCAAAAACTTCCATCTCTTTATTCTATATGTTTTCTCTCGTTCGCTTTGTTTTAATCGATTAAAATATGACCTCTAATGGTATTTATCTACTCTTGTGTGTACTTTGTTTGGATACTAGTAACTAGTGTGATGTGTCTAGTCCTTTGTGTTTTGGTGCAGACTGAATTCTCTATCAGTCAGGTTTGCAATGTGACAACCATTCTAGGTAGCTCGTCATCACGGTGCACATTAATTTGATGATATTAGATGGTTGGAGGCAATCGACCACAGGAAGCCCAGTCTGACCTAGGTTTCGTGCTAGTTGGCACTCCCAGTCAGCAAGCGTTTGCAACCTTGAAGGAACTCATGTCGCTTCTGAGATTCGAACCCGTGTCACCCAGTGAGTACTGCATTCAGAGCCATATTGCACACCTGACTGATAGAATTCAGTCTGCACCAAAGAAAGGACTAGACACATCACACTAGTTACTAGTGTCCAATGAAAGTATCCAATACAGTCATACAGGAGGTCAATCGCGATCCCGAATAACCGGCTCAGTGGTAACGTCTCTGACTGCAGTACTCACTGGGTGACGTGGGTTCGAATCTCAGGAGGGACATGAGTTCCTTCAAGGTTACAGATACTCCTTGTTGACTGGTGAGTGTCAACTAGCACGAAACCTAAGTCCAGGCAAGGCTTCCTGTGGCCGATTACTTTCAACCATCTAATATCAACAGAGATAATATATATAAGACAAATTGTGAAACCGTGTGACTAAAATTGATATGCGATTATGAGTGGCAATAATTTATTCTCGAAACCTTGTCATCCGGTTGTTAATACTGCATCATCACTGTGTGTGATATTTAAAATAAACTTATCTAATATGGAATTATTACATTGTATCACCACAGTGCCCAAGTTCTACACTTATATTAATGAACTCTTATTTTTTTTCCTTCACGTTCCTAGTGGAACATAGGGCTTCAAGCTAGAGGCTTGAAGTTTCTGTAGCAGTGTTTTACTTTTACAGGATGAGGTTGCTAGCCTCATGCCCAACCTTTCCTTTTTACCGGCTTTTTATTACTGGTTTGGCGAGGTATAGGAGTGCGTCGGTCGGGGATCGAACCCCGGACCATGCGCATGGGCGGCGAGCGTCCTAACCACTGTGCCACCGACGCACACAATGAACTCTTATAGTTGAACTTAAAAAGTGCAGTTATTATTCCTCTCCTCTAATTCTTTCTTTCTTTCTTTCATATATTTTAGGCATTAAGTTATGCAAGGCTAAAAGAAGTTGATTTTGAAAGAGCACGTAAAGATTATTCAGCTGCATTGGATCAATTTAATTTATATCGTAAAGATTATTATTTTCGTTGTCTACCATTATGGGCACAAGTTGGTAAAGACTTAGAGACTGTCAGATATACACGGACACAATCACTAATCAGTATACTATATGAACGATTACGTGTAGCAATTGATCGTATGACTACTGTATGCAGTGAATTTCAAGCTGTCTCTACTCATTTGAATTCAGATCAGGTAGGTATTATTATTTATTAATTAATTATTGTTATTATTATCAGCGTTACTTTTAATAGAAGTTACATTAGAATCGTTATTTTCACTTTAAAAGAAATTCATCTTGCATTTTAATTTCAAACAGCATCATGTTTTGATGTATTACTCCTTCTGAGGAGTTTTCTCAGCCATGTACCACCATATCATTCCCATGAAGTGGGAATGCGACGCATTGGCGTAAGCATTCGACTTTCAACCAATGGGTTTCGGGTTCGAATCCTGCTCCACCTACTTCTGCCTGGGCATCTGGGGAGTATCATTAGCCTTCAAACAACAAGTGAGGCTTTTAGCGCAGTACTGGGTAATTGAGATCTAACTAACTAATTATTCTGATATTGCACTTGCGATGAAGTTGTACTATGTACCCATTCGATTCTAACCAGCTGATTCTTTTCAGTTTACCTTGTCATGCGCGGTTTCTTTCATGTCTCTCACAAGTTTGTGCGTCGGTGGCACAGCGGGGTTAGGACTCTCGCCGACCATGCACATGGTCCAGGGTTCGATCCCTCGCCGACGCACACCTGATATCAATGGTCGGCCTGCAAAATTGGGCTACCGATATCACATGCTGAAAATTCCATACTTGTACCGAAAATACGGTGTGGAATCAAGCTATAATAAAAAAAACATAAAAAACAAAAATAAAAGTTTGTATAAGTAACTTCTAGTTGTTGTTATCGTGGTTATCATCCTTGGATCATAAAATGACCCGAAATCAAGGAGAATGTGGGCATTCATGTGTGCTGATGACAACCAGTGGTGTCCGTCAGGGATGCTCACTGTCTCCACTTTGTTTGATTTCATCACAGATGTACTAATGGAATTGACCTTGACTGACTTCAGCGACTTAGGGATTGATTTGTTACAAAGGAATAGTCATGTTGACTATCGGATGTGATGTCGTCCTCCTAAGTGAAGACGCTGGTGAAGTGCAGAGTTTTCTGAACACCTAGAGAGCAGCAATCTTCTAATGTTTGGCATTTGATTTGCTCTTGTCAAATGTAAAATGATGCTCATAGGGGGATGAGTACATTGATTTCTAGATTGAAGATAGAGAGTGAATAGGCTGAGCGTGTTGACCACCACTTCACTTATTTGGGAAGTTGCGTCAGCCGTGATGGACAGATTGCTGACGAAATCTCAGGATGGATAGAAAAGGCTTGTGTGGGATTTGCTAACTTACGCCATCTCTGGTGTATATATATATATGATATCCAGCTGGCTATCGATCAAGGAGGTGTGTATTGCGTAACAGTTCCACCTATCCTCCTTTATGGCTATAAGCAATGACTATTGGAAGTGGAAGCTATGAAAAGGCTAACTGTCTTGGATCATTGGTGTCTGTATTCTATCTCCGTGTTAGTTGGTATAATAGGGTGAGTAATATTAAGATTAACTGTCGAGTGTTAGGTAAGGAGGGAATGTCAGTCGATGAGGTTTTGAAGCTACATCTACTGAGATGTCTAGGACTTGTGTTATGCATGTCTAGCCATCGCCTTCCTCGATGGGCAGTGTTAGCTGACATAAGATCAGGTTGGAGACAAGCTAGCAGTAGTGGTCAAACCAAAACATGGAATCAGTGTCAATGAAATCTTTGACAGTCGGTTTTGAGCCATGTAGGGTGATATAGAATGTCAGGCTGATTGGTGGTCCTCGGGTTGATAAGAACCGATAGTTGAAGACAATTAGTGATTTCAAGTATTGGTTTTGTAGGGATTTTGTTTGATTGCATGGAGGATTTCATCATGAGCTGACATCAGTTAGAGAATCACTGGAAAACCTGGGAGTACTGGACAGCTGTTTCGTCCTAGTTTGGGACCCAGAAGGTCCTGGGTTCGAATCCCGGTGGGTGCGTACTGCTGAAGAGTCCCAAACTAGCCTAACGAAACAGCTGTCCAGTACTCCCAGGTTTTCCAGTGGTTCTCTAACTGATGTCAGCTCATGATGAAATCCTCCACGCAATTAGTGATTTATCTCAAAATCGTTATCCTTCTTTCGAATCCCTTTTTTTTCTTTGTTTGTGTGGTACATGGAGTGTGGCAACTGGAACTGGTGCACTTCTGTGCCGACTTCCATGTTGAAATTAGGCAGTCAGTCAGTCAGTTAGTCCGAATGTGAACATCAAGTCTCAGTCAATTCGTTCAGTCGACTTCCTTACCCAAAGAGATAAAAGTAGTTAGCGAAAAAGCATGTCAGTTCACATATTGTGAGCAATATTTTCCGTATAAAATCAATTTCTTACGTAATTGAGTGAATTCTCACTCACTAGATCCGTCTTCTTTTTTTTTAACGTATGTAAATCATCATAACTGTTATTTTTAAGTACACATTTTGGTAATCGATAAAACTAGACTGTTGTGAATTCTACTCATCACTATACTCTATAGCGCTTAATTAAATTCACAAGGTAGAAAAATTGTTCGCAAACAAGCCCTCATTTTATGTGAATACAAATACGCATACATACATACAAACATGTATACTTTGTGTATGTCTATTGACTAGTTATTGTAATTTTTAGAATTTTTTTTCTGTGTGAAAAAATGTTTTATCAATTAGTTGAGTTAGTGTTATTTATTTCTTAATGAGATACATTTCAATCTTTGTAATTCATGTGTGCATGCATTAGGTGCTTTTATTATAAATAAGGTTTGGACAATAATCAAACCGTCTACTGAAATACAACAAGTTGCTTAGGTTATTCTAGTACATTAAAATAAACATACTTTATACCGTCAACGTTTGAAGTTTCTGTAGCGAATTGGAATGATTTTTTACGGGATAGGGCTGCTAGCCAGTCTCACATCAAACCTTCCTTCCGTCTTTTCTCGAGTTTAGGACTGGACAGAAAACTAGAGAACTAACTAGTAAACTCGTGTCTCCATGGGAAACTCAACGAAGCCTTTGAAGAGTAAGACAAGGTCGGCGGCTTATTATCATTGATGATATTCCTGACTGTGGTAGGCTGAATTATGCCGGAGATTGTGTGTGGAGTAAGAAGACAGGAATACGTTGGATGGGTGCGTACTGATGAAGAGTCCCAAACTAGGCTGACGAAACAGCTGTCCAGTACTCCCTGCTGGTTTTCCAGTCGTCCTCTAACTGATGTCAGCTCATGATGAAATCCTCCAACAAAATCCCTACAAAACCAATACTTGAAAATTAATCACTAGCGACTGGTCCTATTCAGGTAGTGACCTGGGGTTCTAGTGGGAAGCTGTGACCAGTAGGGTACAGCAGGTTGAAGGTGCGGCAATAACTCATCGAAGAAGACATTGCGAAGTGGTCGCGCTATTTCATGAATTGGAAGAAGTTAGAATTCATTGGCCATTGGATTGGGTCCCAGTGGTTCAATGGTCTATGAGTTCGCGCGCCTTGCAACCAGAAGGTCGTGGATTCGAACCGTGGCGGTGGATGCGTACTGATGAAGAGTCCCGAGTGCCGGAACGAAACAGGTGTCCAGTACTTCCGGTAGGTTTTTCAATGGTTCTCCAACTGATGTCAGCTCATGATGAAATCCTCCATCCAATATCTGAACTTCGCAGATGACTTATGTCTAATGTCACATAGATTGAAGACTTGTAGGCGAAAACCATTAAACTGGCAGAAGAAGATGGCAGCGTAGACGGGACTTCAAGTGAACATAGAGAAGACGGAGATGATGAAGATAACCAGTCGCTTTCAACGGAAGATATTTGAAAGAGATCACTTCCTTCACCTATCCGGCCAAACAACATCGTTTCAACAACCGGCGGATGCCACAGATGACGATGTCAAAACCAGTCAGGATTAGAAAGACAAGACAGACCTTTGTCACAGTGAAATCAATTTAGAAATCTGCTTCACTCCGAAGCATAAAGTACAAAATTCGGATTTTCAAAACCACTGTTAAGTCAATTCTTTTATGTGCGTCACGAAAAGCATTTCCAACAACCTACTTCACACTTTTATCAATATCTGCCTTCACTCGATACTGAAGATCAGGAGGCCAGAAAGAATTAACAACAAGAACTCAACAAATATCCCAAAGAAAATGGAGATGGATTGGACACACGCTGAAGACACTGTGGGATGACATTGCGTGCGATGCTATCGCTCGAGTGGAACCTGAATGGTAAACGACAGGTTGAGTATGGGTTCCAAGGGTGACATGGAGGAAATCGTGTGCGGAGGAGACGAGAGATTATAGGCAATCAGGGGGCCACTTTGATTGGACACTAGTAACTTGTGTGATGTGTTTTGTCCTTTGTTTGGTGCAGACTGAATTCTATCAGTCAGGTGGGTAATGTGACCACCATTCTAGGTAGCTCGCCACCACAGTGGACATTGATTTGATGATATTAGATGGTTGGAGGCAATCGGCAGGAAGCCCAGTCTGACCTAAGTTTCGTGCTAGTTGGCACACCCAGTCAGCAAGGCGTATCTGCAACCTTGAAGAAGCTCATCTCCCTTCTGAGATTCGAACCCGCGTCACCCCGTGCTGCAGTCAGAGACTTTACCACTGAGTTCCTTCTACTCCATTATGGGTAAATTTAATTTCGATAAAGTCTCACAGTGTTATACAGTAATCTTTACTGATGACGTTTCGAGCACAATTTATTGCTCATAATCATATCAAGGTAATCACACGACTTCCTAAATTCATTTATATAGTTCCATTGTTTTTCACTTGATTTTCACTTGATTTGATTGGTAGTATTATTTTCCAAATTTCAGGTATGAGTGATGATTCATTCCTATTGCATGTGTTGGGTGTAGACTCAATGAACCAGGCAGGATTCAGTAATCAACCTCTCTCTCCACCTACCTAGATTACTTCTTAGAATTTTAACCCTCTCCCACCCACCCTATTGTGTGGTTGTGTGTTAATGCATGCATGCAGTGCAATTGCTGCGCTTCCTTGTAAATTACTTATCTTTTCGAGATCAATCATTCTAACCTTAGCTAAATTCTTATGTTCC